GTTTGGGGTTTAGGGTTCAGGTTACTCCTGTTTTTGTGTCACACCTTTGCTCCGCAGGCAGCGTCTGCAAAGATGCTCATTGCGGTGTTTATATCACTTTTTTCGGCTTCCCGGACACAGCCAAGATACACTTCGCACAGGAGCGGCTCCAGCACCTGTAGGCACTCACGCCAGCATGAAAACGTGCCATATTTTGAGAGCGCCGACTTCCTACCGGTGTCCCTAAACGCTAAACCCTTAAAGCCTCAAACCCTAAATCCTGAAAGTCTTAAACACCTAAGACCGTAAACTCCAACCCGTAAACCCTTAACCCTTGTAATTATACTTCCCGAAGCTGGCGGCACGCACTCAGTCCCGGCCGGGCAAATTGCTAGGAATACATGACGGATATAACCTTAGGGTGTGGGGTTTAGGGGTACTGTCCCCACCCAATAGCAGCTGCATATTTAGTATATTCTAGTTACATATAGCACTTGAGACTACCTGTATTGTAGACTGGTACTGGGTGGGCAGAAACCCTACACCCTAAATCCTAAACCTTGAATTCCCCACAATCCCAATAATCCCTTAACCCTAAATCCTTAACCTTCAATTCCCACAATCCCAATAGTCCCTACACCCTAAATCCTTAACCTTCAATTCCCACAATCCCAATAGTCCCTAAACCCCAAGTGCTTCACCTTCAATCCCCACAATCCCAATAGTCCCTAACCCCTAAGTCCTCAAGCTTCAATTCCCACCCTAAACCCTAAACCCTAAACCCTGAACCCTAAGTCCTTAACCTTCAATTCCCACAATCCCAATGGTCCCTGTACCTCAGATGACTAAGGTGCCAGCAATCTTCTTCTGAGACTTGAGCTCTGCCTAGCATCCGTGGGCGCAAGGTTCTCCAAATGCTTAGGGTTTAGGTTTTTTTTTTTAACGACCCCAACGGCCTTTTAGGTCTAGCATTAGCTTGGGGGTCTTGGTTGCCCAGTCGGACTCCAAAAGAACTAGCGAACAGCAGCCCCTCAGAACCTCTTGCGGATGAAGCGTACGGGTTTAGGGTTTAGGGCTTAGGATTGAGGGTTTAGGATTTAGGGCTCGGGATTGAGGGTTTAGGGTTGAGGGTTGAGGGTCTAAGATTTAGGGTTCAAGATTTAAGGTTGAGGGTTGCTTCTAAACTTCGGGTCCCATTTTGGTACCCCTCATTATTAGGTGCCGTAACATAATCCATAACCCAAAGGGGCAAATAGTTTTGAGAATAAGCAAAATGCCTCTTCTACGCGCTCGGATTTCCAATGCTAGGAAGGCTTGAAAAGGTAGAATTTTTGTTCGGGGCGACATGGGTGGAAAGACCCTTTACCGTCACCCGCTCTTAGCATTCGTAGACATGCTAGTCGCACTGGGTCCATTACCCCCATATCGATCTTACCGAAAGGGTAGTGGGCTCCCTGGGTAGCTTAAACCCTGACCTCAAAACCCTAAACTCCCTAAGCCCTAAACCCCCCACCCTAAACCCCAAACTCTACACCCTAAATAACTCCCTCCCTAAATCCTACACACTAAACCTCAAAACCCAAATCCTCAAACCCTAGACCCCATAAACCCTAAGCAACCCCATTCAGGGCCCTGTAGCTGGGCTGCTGTTAAGGAACTTAAATTAAGTTGCTATATTGGGGGAACCCTATTATTTACTATATATACCCATTATGGTAACTTTATTTAAGTTCTTTAACAGCAACCCAGGTAGAACTGCTCCTCTTCGTGCTGGCGCCGGAGCTTGGTAAGCTGCTCCTCAAGAGCCTGGCTGAGCGCGAAGGCGTGGCGTTTCAAACGTTTCGGGCTTGGGCTTCAAATGGGAGGTTCCCAAAATTAGGGGTACCCTTTTGGCGGTCCCCATAATAAGGATTATAATATATTGGGGTCTATATTGGGGTCCCCTCATTTTGGGAAACTATCAAATGAGTTTGTCTACAGCATAGGGTTAAGGCTTTTTAGGGTTTAGGGGAAGTTAAGGGTCAAGCGTTAAGGCTTTAGGGTTTAGCGTTCAGTTTTGCTTCAGGTTCAAAAACAGTTTTAGGGTTTAGAGCTGAGAGTTCAGGCTTTCAGATCATGAAATAGATGACGATACAAGGATCAGGTTTCTAGGGTATGTAACAGGCATCTTCTGCAAAATCCAACAGCATGATAACACCGCGCTGATCAATTGACACCATCTCTTATTCCCCTGAAGATGACTGACGTGGACAATTTCAACAAACCGCCCGAATATCACCCAAATCGAAACGATCGCGATCTCAAGGACCTCAAGATCCCATTCAGGGTCTAGGGTTTCGGGTACACATAGCATAAATCGCAGAACAAAAAGCATGGCCTGTTACCCAACCTAAAACACCAAACCCCTAACCCCTCGAAGTGCTTTCGAAGTGTGGCTCATCCGCGTTGCTCAAAGGAATGGGTCAGCCTCCTCAAGTCTCAAACCCTAAACTCCAAACCCAGACCCGAAATCCCCAACCCTGTAACCATGAAATCCTTAGCCATGAACCCCCAAAACCCGTCAGGGGCGGGTATCCTATGCAATCCTAATATACCCCATATGAGAACCCAACCCACCCCTAAAAGGCCTTCCATACCCCTCGTATTCGCATTACATACTTGCCTGCCCCTCCCCTGAAGAAGCCGTAGACTTCACCCTGAATCCTACTTGAAGGTTCAAGGGACTTATAACCTCAATTCGAACTGGAACTGATAGAACCTTATCAGCGAACTTAGGGTACACAACATCGGTTATGAGTACAATTATAGTTGGTTTAAAACTGCTCTACACTCTAGATACCCGATAAAACCCTATACATTGAATCTTCTCTGAGTTAGAACTGCCCAGAACCCCCCAAACCCTAAACCTAAACCGCGTGGCCTGGCCTTCCTTTCGGCATCTGAAACGCCATCATGATCCTTTTCGATGGAGGGCTCGAAGTCCTGGGAAAAAGTCCAGCGTCCCTCTTAGGGTTTAAGGTTTGGGGTTTAGGATTTGGGGCTTTGGGGCTTACTCTAAGGGATTTGGAACCCCAGTAGAAATTATAATTTCAGCTAAATATTAGGATTCTAGGTAACAGAAATTACAAGTTATTTTCAGGAACCTTGTAGTTTAGGGATGCTCGGAAGTCTGGGGGCATAGGGGGATATTGCAGGAATTGTAGTGGTCCTCTCAACCGAGTAGCTTGACCCCCAGCTTTGGGCATCCCCACAGGCCAAACGTTTAGGGTTTAGGGTTTAGGGTTTAGGGTTTAGGGTTTAGGGAATCATTATAAAATATTAGAGTTTCGCGGCGTACCTCGGCCCCCGTGTTTTTACACATTCCCTGTATGCATTTCATTTGCCCTAGAGAAACCCCTACAGAATACCATATCATATATGTAAGGGTCTATGTATGGAAAATCAAGAGGAGCAAGTTCTGAGAATTCACCAATTAACTTGCAGCTTTTTGAGTAAGGGGTTTTGAATAAGGGAAATCAGGGATCTAGGAGAATAGCCTATGGGATACCTTACAGAAATCCCCCTCCATATACCTTCAATAAGTTAGTATAAGATACCCTGGGTAATACCTTGTAGAATATCCCATATATACCTTATTGAATACCCTTAGCCTATAGAATACATTATACTTATAGAATACCTTACAAAAAGCCACCTAGATACACCTTATAGGATACCTTGTGGAATACTTTATAGAATAGCCTTTAAAATACGTTATAGAGTACTGTATACAATACCCCATATACAGTCCAGAATATGTCCTCACCCTGGAAATACATCCCCCTCCAACGTTTTATGCGATCTTAAGCCAGATCGTGAATACTGGGGATAATGTCCCTATATACCCCTTTACAGCAGGGACCTAGGGTTTCCATTTCATTTTCCATTTTCTTTTCCAGTTGATTCTCCATTATAGGAGGATATCTCATCCTTGAGGGCAGAGGCATCCTTTTTGACATTGTGCGAGAGCACAGCTGACGACGCTTTGTTAAATCAAACATTTGCCATCTACGGGTAAGTGCCGGCAAGCCGGTGCTTTGGGACTCCATCAAACTGCAAGCCTTTCACATGGCATAGTCCTATCTATTTTAGGACTCATCTGACTCAGTATAAGACACACATGAGCTATAGTCTAAACTCCCGGTATCCCTCTTAATACGCCCTATAGCAGTCCCCCACATAAGCCCCATATAACTCTCTTTTCAGGAGTTTAGACTATAGCTCACATGGCATGGATAGGGCATAGGGATTGGGAACATCCATCTGTTGGACCTCCCAGCTTGCAGAAGAGCTTTGCTTCGGCTCGGGAGGTCCATACGACGCAAGCAGCTGCAGGTCAAACGTCCGGCGTGGACCTGCCAAGCGACTGTTGATGGAGGAAATCTTGCACCACCTTAAGTCCCTAAAGTCCTAGGAATTACAGTAGTTTAGGGCCCCAAGGTGGTGCAAGATTTCATCCATCAACAGTACCACTGCTTCTGCTCTGGCATAGACTCAGGAGCCCTACAGAATTTTGAATTCTTATGGCCTTATACGGCATATGTGATCCAACAGTCTCAGGATGGATTATGCTCATTATGCACGTAGCTTTACCCACACTGTATAATGATACCATAGGAGCCATAGTCTAAACTCCTTAACGGGGGGTTCATACAAAGGATTATAGAGGGGACTACTACAGGGGTCATGAAGGGGGATACTAGGAGTTCAGACCATGGTAACATTTTAGAAGCTGTGGGAATTGAATTTGCAGGGAGAGGGGATTAAAGGAAGTAGATACACTGCACAAACCCTAATCAGGGGAAGGCTGGGGGCCGGGGGACCCTTGAAAATCAAATTCTCATGACGTCCGGCGGATTTTATAGGATTAAGGGCAATATAAACCCCTAAACCCTAAACCCTAAAACTTGAACCCCTCAACCCTAAACCCTGAACCCCAAACCCTAAAACTAAACCCTCAACTCTAAACCCTCAAAACCCTTTGTAAGCCCTAAAGCCTAAACCCTAGCTAAACCCCTAAACCCCCAAAAGCAGTAGTAAGGAAATCCCTATAACCCCTAAATAAACCCTAAACCAAGACATTCCGGCAGCTCTGGGCTTCGCACCTTCTTGGCCTGAGGCAAGGCTAGCCACGACCAAAAGAGATGTGGAGGTTTGGGGGTTGAGGGGTTTGGGGGTTTAGGGGTTTAGGGGTTTAGGGGTTTAGGGGTTTAGGGGTTTAGGGGTTCAAGGTTTAGGGTTTAGGGGATGATGGGAAAGAAAATGGGAACTACTACTTAGGGTTTAGGGGTTTAGGGTAGAGTGGAAAAGAAAATGGAAACTGCTATTTAGGGTTGAAGGCTTTAGGGGTGCTGGGTCTAGGGTTTATGGTTGAGGTTGATCTGCGACTCAGGGGCATTAATTGAAGCCGCAATGAGCCATTCCATGGGGCCCCAAGATGAACCAATCTGCTATAACCTGCAGAAAAAGGCCCCCATATTTGGAGCCCTAAACCCTAAATCCTAAACCCTAAACCGCCCAATAACATGCTCACCCTAAACCCTAAACCCTACCCCCGTGCAGCAGTCGTGGGCCCTGGCTTTGAGCGCCGAGAAGTCCAGTGATGTGTGGCCCGCCGCGGCGACCATTGCCCTGCAGCTGGCTCAACCCAACCCCCTGGACCCAAATGCTCAATCCAAAACTCAACCCACCCTGAATGAATCCTCATCAAGTCATGGGTACCAGAAGAAACTAGTGTAGGTAGATTACATGGCGCCTTAGTAACGCCATATTTAGAGGCTATTACTGTAAGGGATATTGACCTAAAACCCAATTTAGGGTTTGGGGTTTGGGATTTAGGGCCTGCTACTCTGAGGGCGAATGACCCAGAAATTGACATCAAAAGCTTTCTTTCTATGTAACAACGACTCGTTAATACAAAAATATATGCAGGATTTTTGAATGACAAAGCGCTTGACAAATTAATCAGCTCCACGTACACTGCACCAAAGCTGAACAGATGCCAAGGCACCGAAGTTTAGGGTTTAGGGTTTAGGGATATTCTGCCAGCAGTGGCAAATCAATGGAAAGTCTGGGGAATCAAAGTGAAAATGAAATGGAAACTGAGGAAATCTAGGGTGGTATGTGAGCCATAGTCTAACCTCCTAATATCCCACTTAATAGCCCTGCAATAGTGCCCCATAGAATCCCCTATATAACCCCTTCTAAAGGGTTTAGTGTATAGCACATATAAGGATTACTGTAAATACAAACCCTGAACCCTAAACCCTTAAAAGTAGAGTTTGGAGCTTCCCGGCCAGCCTGACATCTCCTTCCATGACGGATGGATCCTGGATGCACAGGTACATGGTAGGTCTAGGATCTGCGGGCTTCAAAGATTATTCCCAAAAGGAAATAACCCTAAAGCCCTTAAGCCCTAAAGTCCTTAGACCCTAAAGCCCCCCTAAACCCTAAACCCTAAAGCCCTTAAACCCTAAACCCCTTAGCCCTCAAACCCCTATTTTCGGCAACAAAGAGATCATGCATGGCAGACCTATATAGCAAATCCCACCTGGTCTACTTGAAGATTCAGGGACTTAGCAACTAAAAGGTTTAGGATTTAGGGTTTGGGGGCCAATTCTACTCAAAATCCGCCTAGCTGGATTTAGTAGGTTCCCCCAATGCTAAGCAAGGTTATAAGCCAAGTTATCGGTAGTTATGAAGCCGCATGAACCTCCCAGTCCCCCTCTTTTGAGGTACCCAATGTAACCCTAAGCCCTAAGCCCTAAATCCTGAACCCTAAACCCTAAACCCTAAATCCTAAACCCTAAATCCTGAACCCTAAACTCTGTCCTGCCCGGCTTGTGCCACAAGGTGGACTGGCCCAGTGGGGAACCTTCACGTAGCGGTTCCATAGCTCGCTTCCTGCTTCTGGGGCTGCCTCCGCGATTTGGGTTTAGGGTTTAGGGTCCTGGGTTTAGGGTTTAGGGTTTAGGCTTTTGGGGTTTAGGATTTAGGGTTTAGGGCTTATATAGGCTTTAGGGCAGCTAGGTGACATCAGCAGAGAGACCTGTATTTTTCCAAATGCACTGACCAGGACTAGGAAATGCCTCACCTCATATACGCCCCCCCCAAAAAATAGCTCTTGAAAGAAAAGAAGACCCCGAAACCCAGATATATCCCCAACCTAAACCCGAAACCCCATAGCAGTTTCCATTTTCTTGTCCACTACCCCAATATATCCCCTATATATACCCTATTATATTTCAGTAGTTTCCATGTTCTTTTCCATTATCCCAATAAATCCTCAATATATAACCCTATGTATACTCTAATATATTCCCTATAATCCGTATATATATATATAAATATATAGATATATCTCACCAACCGGTGTACAAACGTCTGGGCCTACGGTGCTTCCAGACGGAGAACTGGGCTGTGCCTGGCCACGAAAGCACTGGCTATATGGGGGTTTCAATTATTAGGGTTATACGGGTGTTATATTGGGATAATGGAAAATAAAATGGAGACTACTATTTAGGGTATAGGGTTTAGGGTTTAGGGATATAGGGGCTTCCCAAAAATTAGCTAGGGGTATTGGGGGTCCCATAATAAGGATTATAGTATTTTGGGTTCCACATTGGGGTCACATTGGGGTCCCCCTATTCTAGGAAACTACCACATCAACAATGACGGTAAGATCAAGAAGATTGGTAATAACAATCACAAACTACTGGCTACTAATGATAGTATGAATGTGGTGATAATAGCAGTAACACGAAAAATAGCAGGCGTACTAATGTTGATGATCATCATCATGACACCTGGAATGGTGATAACTGTGACAATAACAAAAACGGCGGCTGCCATAGGAATAGCC